GTCCAGGTCATTTTTGATTTGAGAGTTTATCAGTTTTTCTAGAACCTAAAGGCTCCCACATACTCAGGCGTACTTCACTCTGCGGAGGTCTGTGCGTACCCAATCAGGACTCGATGCGGTCTTGAAGCAGACGTCCACAAGCCATGTCCACACAAAGATCAATTTTTACAACCACGTGCACGTACGCAGTGTCGCACAATAAACTGCCCGGGGATGGACTGTTTTGTATGCAACACCAATGTATTAAATTCCCCTTCTTCATCCGTGGTCTGTTTTAATGGCCTTTTCTTTTCTTTTGTTTTTTGCCATGCAAGAGTCAAGCGATCTTTTCCTCCTCGTTCATTGATGCCATGACTGAAATTGTGAGAAATTAAGGAATTTGTCACGAGAGAATCAAAATCAGGCCCGGCGTGGCTGCAGGAGAGTCTGGAGATTTCCCGGTGGACCGGTCTGATTTGTGGGCTGCAGGGCCAGCGCTCCCTGTTTTTTTTTTTTTAAGAACTTTTTATTAACAACTAATAAACACAGGACACAGCTACCACTCCTCCTGGGCTGCCAGCTGCCTCTACCCAGTTCTTTTTTGTGTATGTGTGTGTGTGACCTGTCAATCAATCCAGTAGGTGTGTCAGCAAGTAACCAATCGGCGACCTCAATTTGTCCCGAAGGTAAACGCCCCTTTCCTGCAGCGCTGGGCTGCAGCCCATCAGGGTGTACGCTCACGTATGAAGTCTCAACCAACAGTGCGCGCAGTGTCAGCGTGGCTCATGAAGTACACACAGTACACCCGAGTATGTGGGAGCCTTTAGCAAGAATACAGAGTTTAGAGACTGGCTGATAGTTGTTCAGTGGGGTCACCTCCCTTCAGTAAAGGTGGAACAAAAGATATCAAGGTTCATACTCAGTCATCCAGGTAAAAAATGAAACAATGTTCCATCAGGTCACGTAGAACAAAAGCTGTTTTTCAGGCGTTTCAAATGCTATTTTGTCTTATGGGCAGATTAAAGATGTGAGACATTGATTCTGCGATGATATGAGCAGCCAGCCTTACGAAAGAAGAAGGTCATCAGGGCCTGCAGATTTTTAGAATCTAGACTTTTTAACAATTTATTAACCTCGCTAAGAGAAAACAGTGAAAATGAAAAGGTGTGATTTCCTGAAGATTGACTTGTAGGAGAGATTTGATTTGTAGATGTTTGGATTAAAAGCTGTTTTTATAGTAACTGGCAAACAAGGAACTAGAATCAATACAATGTTTGTTGAAACAGTTCAGAATCTCGTACTTATTTGACACAGGAACAGAGTTAACAAGTACCTGTGGTTGTGGTGGCAGGTCGACTGAGTGGGAGCTGCTGGAATGTGATTTGATGGTTTTCCTGAATCTTTTAGGGTCACTGAGATCTTTGGAGGTCTTAGATAAAAAATATTTACATTTTGCAGCTTTGACGGAAGCTGTACAATGACTCCACAGCTGTGGAAAATGCACCTAATCAGTATCTGAACCAGAATGTCTGGCTGTTACCCAAAGTTGATCTCTCCTGTGCAGGAGAACAGCTAACTCAGGAGTAAACCAGGGTTGTCTCGTCCTTTTACTCTGAACTGGATTGAAGAGGCATGTTTATTTACAAAGTAGATTAAACTGTTCTGAAAGTAGTTCCAAGCAAGATTCACTCCATCATTTAGGAGAGTACGTTGCCAGTCCAAATTAAACAGATCCCGAAGGAAGGCCTGTTCGCTGAAATGCTTCATGTCCCTTTTTAGAATTAATCTCGGCTTGTTGTGAGGCAGTTTGGTGTCTCTGATGACACCGACAATGCAATGATCACTCATGTCATCAGAACAAACACCTAACCCAGAAAAATTAAGAGATATATTTGTTACAAAGAGATCTAAAATAGATGATCAGCCTGGGTATTTTTTTATTTGGGCGAGTGGGGGTGTCAATGATTTGAATGAGATAGAGTGACAAGCAACATTTTTTAAATTCTTCAGACACTGGAGACTTCCAGTCTAGGTTAAAGACACCAGCAAAAATAATTTCATTGAAATGTAAATTTGTTAGGAAGTCCATTAAAGACGATAGGGCCTCAGGGATTACTGGGGGAGTGGGGTGTTTAACAGTCCACAACAGATAAAATCTGGCCTCCGTGCAAATTAACGTTTATTGTCAGGATTTCAAACAGATTTGGGAGCGTTTTAGTTGACACCAGGTGAGAAGCCAGGCTTGTTCTGATATAGATTGCAACCCCACCTCCCTTACTTTGACAATAAGAATGGTAGATATTAAATCTGTCAAATTTACCTGTCTAAATAAAGGTTGAATGAAAACTGACACATCTTTATCCAAAGATGATTTGGATAACCAGGTTTCAGAGATAACAATCAATAAGTTTTCAATCAAAGATCTTAATTTTTAGAACATCTTGCAAACAGACAGACAGAAAGACGGACAAAACAACCAACATTACAGAAAATATAATCTCCTAAGAGGTAATGAAAATCAATGCAGACATGTTCCTGTTTTTAGTATTCTACACCGCCTTACAATCTACAATCGCCTTACAATCAGTTTTTTTGTTGCTACTTTTCCTTTTAGTTATCCTTTTAATTAACATTTAATTTTCATTTGTTAAAAAAAAATTGTATGAATCCTTTATGATTGTCTGTTGTTGTCGTTGTTGTCCACTGTTGTCATCATTCTTTGTTAAAATCAGGTCTCTCTTGTAATTGAGTCCCTGTGGCTCAATGGGACTAACCTGTAAAAATAAAGGTTGAATGGAAAAAAAAGTTAATAAATATAGATTATTTATAATAACACAATTCTTAAGCAGCCATCACTTAAGACCCTGAGGAGCTGAAGACCTGCTGCTTTGTGGAGGTGAAGTGAATTAATTAATTAACTGATGTATTTATTGAACCAATGAATGGACTTTCTAAAGCCTGCAGTGAACAGATCTATCTATCTATCTATCTATCTATCTATCTATCTATCTATCTATCTATCTATCTATCTATCTATCTATCTATCTATCTATCTATCTATCTATCTATCTATCTATCTATC